CAAAAAAAAAAAGGGCAGGATTTTCAAAAACATTCACCACTTGTATAGCCCTGTTCTTACTGAAACAATTGGGAAATTTCTCTGCTCATAGATAGCAGATGTAAGGCCATATTGAAACCCAAACAGAACATTTCCCACCTGAGTTCGTCTTTATCTGGTGATAAAATTCTTAGGAATTCTTTAAGATTCAAAATTACAATTAATAGCAAAGTAATTTTCAAAGTACTTAGTGAAAGAGCTAGTAAACAGAACGGGGGCATGCAGGTTGGACTTTCTAGATCCAAAGAAAGCAGCTTGAACATGAGCTTTTCAGACATAAGCTTTTGCAGATAATATATGTTGAAGGAACTTTTCATGACTGAGAGTGCACAGGGTGATTCTTTTCCTTGCTTTAAATCACCAAAAAAAGTCACAAAAGATAATTAAACTTTATTATATAAAGAGGCTGTTCGCCTCTCGTTCTCTCTGTACACACACCCCCACACACGCACATACATACATGCATATATATACGTATGAATACACATACATACAAAGAAAGGAAGATAGAAATTTTAAAAACAATGATTAATTTTAACTATTCAAACTTCTATTAACCAAAAAATGAGGAAAAATTCTTTTGTTATTTTAACTTCAAGCGTCTGAAAACCTGATTCCTAAAAAGTATCCTCTGTCTCCTAACTTTTTACTATATAACCATGACCTAGATGAATTTATCTCTGCAATATTTGTGGTAAGTTCTATAATGATTTCACAAAACACAGATTCTACCACCTATAATGTGCATTGCATTGCAAGCTGTAACATACTACAAAATGCCTGTTGTCACTTATATTACTCTACTTAAGCAGTCTGTCGTTATCATATTAGCCCGAGTATTTTCAATCTACTTTTTGGAAGAAGATAGCAGTATTTACTGTAAATCATCTTCTTTTACAACATTTTAAAAGAAAAGTTACGGATCGAAAGTATAGAGCATAAAAGCACAGCACTCCAGTTATATTTCAGCGCTGTGTACTGACCTCTACTGGTTTGTCCACTGTAGCTCCCATAAATATTAAACACGACTTAATTTTAATTAGACTTCTGTGCTCTCATGCTCAAATTCATGGATAAACTAAATTGCATGGCCCCCTGCCACATCCTCCCCGAAGGAAATATAAAAAGCAATCAAGATTCCAACTTGCAAGTTTACCTGTAGTAGGTGAAACACGATGAAAAACCATCACGAAAAAAAACCTAGCAGTAGAATGATATTAAAATTAGAAAACTCCATCTTACCACTCTGAGTGTATTTATGTCAGACTGAATAATTTATCACATTTGTTTTATTCAACTGCTGCCTCATGTCTGCATCGTTATTATCTGTTTGGTATACAAAACATATTTTTATTTTTTCCAGTGCCTAACATCTGACCTGTGATTCGGGCCAGTAGTATTAATGTAACACAAATAACAAAGTCATGAATATGAATTCATCATCTTCAATCATCCCCATTTGACAGACTTCTGCTTCAGAGAACACGCTTGTCTCTAGAAGCCTCTTCAGAGGACATATTTGCTCTAATTAGAACAGAGCTGGCAGCTTATCTACCGCACACCAGTGGATCAAAGTACAGAAGCAAGTTTGACATTTTAAAAGTATCACTACGAACGCTTTGTCAAATCAAAGTCATTACTATGTCTTATTGGGAGCAGCGATATAGTCACCTCATTGACCAATCTACTTTCTAACCAATCCTAAGAAAAAAAAACTCTAGATCTTCACATGTCTTACTGTAAAAAGCAACTCCAGTTAGTCATAAGTAAATTAATAAAATTTTCTATAATCATTTACCAAAGAACATTTTCATTATCAGCAGCATTTATGCTGCAAAACTTTCCAATTTTAAAAGCTTATTTTTAGATTTCTTTGTTATACAAGTCTTCAAGTATGAATAACCGCTTTACATATTGTGAGAACATTTCCTCTCACTCTATCAGCAACTCCAAACATTTTTTCTTTCTTAAGCCACCTCTGCTGGCTGGAAAAGAACAACAATTGTTCAGTGCAAAAACAATGAAATTTGAGTGCTTTGTTGGTATACATAGTAAAGCACACCACATATTTTAATTCATTTTCAGAACAGCAAGATGCCTATTATTCATGAAGCTATTCTGTATAATAATTCACCTTTCTTTTATTTTTCATAAAAAGCTTTTAGATCCCATAAAAAAAAAAACAACAGATCACTCAAATTACTGAGCATGAGCCTATGAGCCTAGAATATTTTTACATTGTATAAGTAAATACCTGAACTACGTCTGTGGTTTTTTTTTTTAATCAGCTTCTCAGCTTCTCTTAACTTCTTGAACAGTCAAAGTTCTCTCCCTTCTTTTACCACAGCAAAACCTTTCATCACTAAATCCTATGGCTGTCAATATTTTAGAACTGCAAGCAATAAATTAAAAAAATAAAGAAGAGCCGCTGGCAATTAACACTTTCCTCTGCATTCAGGAGAAAAGTGGCTGGTTTCCTTTGCAAGCTGCATCAGCCTTTCCCTTGTGCTGACCAGCAGAGGGAGGACAGGGGGTGACCACACAGCAAGTAACCCCCAGGGCAAATTGTCCAGGAGCCCATTTACTGTCAGTCCAAGCAAAACTACAAGCAGTGGTCCCATTTTTAATGTCTGTGGTGAAAACCCACGCATGATTTTAGCCAGAAAATAAACTGATACTATTTTTCCCTCTTACCTTTACCTGGTGAGTCAGTACAGGTGTCCAAAAGATCGCTGTCTTCTGATTTTGATGAGTTTGCCACCGCTCTGATTCTTCTGCTGCTACTTCTAGGACTTTGATGATCAGCTGGATCTGATCTCCTTATTCTTTTCTGTGTTAGAAAGAAAATATTTTGATGTTTTATCATTAGAACTAGGCCTTTGCTCAATACATTAGAACAAGGACGCAACAGTTCGGAGATTTGCAAATCAATATCATTTTTCTTAAGCGGGGAAATATAATCAGTCTTAATTAGATTTTCTAACGTACAAAGGAGTTAAAGACATTGATTTTCACTGAACATGTTGCCTGAGTCACAGTAAAACTATCTTCTTTTCATAAGGCATTTTAAAGCAGTATTTCAGTCAGCTCCGTGCAAAATATTCCACAACAGCCCCAATAACTTTTTTCCTTACCTCTAGTATCCCAGTGAGGTCACATTCTGTTAAAAACATCCTGTCAAGCTTGGTACAAAAGGGCTCCAAAGAATCAGAATGCAGAAGCTATGCAACTTGCTGACTAACTTTGCTCTGTGTTATTTACCAACCACACAAAGAAAATGCTGTCTATTCAAAACACAGTTCAAAACTCTCTTCACAGAAAGTGAGTGAACAAACAGTCCCATGTCCGATGCTGTAGTCACATCTCCCATGAGGCCCGGTGATAGCTCTGGGGCATGGGACGGAGTGACACCACCAGCAGTTACTACAAGGCACTTTTGTAAACAACTTGTGTGTGTGCGCGAGTGCGTGTAGAGGAGGGGGGGAGGTGTTACTTTTCTATATCTTAATATTATGCTATTTTTGCTTTATCGCGTTTAAGCAGTACTTTAGTCTATTCCTTTATCTATTGAGTGCTCTAGTACTCACACACTATTTCCACACTGTAACCTGCGTTTTCCTCCAGAACGGACCTGAAAGGAACATCTGGAATTAGTTTAGGATCTAGATTTGGAACTCTGGAACCCAGTTAAAAGGCAGAAGTTAATTCAAAGTCTTCCAGATCCACAGCAGAAACAGATAAGGAAATTTAACACTCATCAGAATTCAAAAAATTTGTCATGAGTCTTTTGCTTTGGTTCATTAAAGAATCAGGCCTCAGTTAGAAACGTATGTTTTAACCTCATCATTAAACATTGCTTCAAGCTATGAGACTAACAGCAAAATATCTTCTTAACAGTTTGTGACATAGATTCTTCCAAATCCTTATTCCGGAATAAGGATCACTCTAGGTAAGACATAAAGGACATTCAGTTGTTGATATACTTCCACAACTGGGTGATACATGAATATTAATCAGATGTCAAAAGTATGACTTCTAAAAATGTAAAGATTTTCCAGTAATAGACTAAACGATAAATTACCTAGCTATAGTTCTCTTACTAGTACTTGAAATAATACCTTCAAAATGTAAATGGTGACTGATACTGTAAGCAGAATTGTCAAAGTTTCTCTCATGATTTAAAAAATAAATTTAATTATTTCTCAGTGCCCAACTAACATCCAGTCTTTGATCAGAGCCTGCAATTATTCCTTGTCAGGCAGTACTGTGCTCTAAAAGTAGTATCTTACAGAGACCAAGTGAACCTTCACTTGTGCATAGTTGAAGATATTACAATAGTTGCTTTTGTTTTTTAATTTCGGCTTTAAAAAACCCCTAATGCCAATATGAAGTCATCAATTGATTTTTGTATCTTTACTTTTTCTCTGAGTTTGCATTTTAAGCTCTTCTCATCTTCACTCTTTCACATGACCTCACTGTTCTACCTATTTATCTGTACCTCAGGAATGTATACCATGTCTACTAAAATACTGTGCTATAGGGTACTTAATTTTCACAGTTTCATCATCGTGAGGTCACAAAGTCTATAATCCCTGCTTAGGGACTGAGAACCAAAGCGCAAGAAACCTGGCAAAGCAGAACTAATAGAAATTTGGCGGCAACACTGTTCATAGCTTCTCCGAACATGAAACCACAATCTTCAGTCCTCTTCAGCATGGTTTTGGCTCAGCGCTCCACACGTTATTGAAAATATTTAGCACATAACATTAAAGTCAAAATCCAGCATAAACACAGAACAGAAGGAAATAAATCTTTGTGATATTCCTTGCCAGGCCTAGGTCAAGGATGTGCTGTAAATGTCTACTGATTTGGTCCTCTCTTCCTCTTAAGCCTTTTCTGAGCTCTAGTCCCTATTTTTGACTATTTCAGACCTGGCATGCAGAAAGGCTGTACAGAAGAGCAAAGTCTACAGAACAGAAAGCTTCACAAGTTTAACTGATAATATTTGACTGCTTTCCTCTTCTCTGTTACCAAGCCTGTAACTAGATTTCAAAGTCTAGGACCTTGCTTTTATACAGAAATCTACTGAATCATATGACCAAGGAGTCTAAAATTTTAGAATTGCATTCAGATGATTACCTTTGCCGTACTATTATGACAGAAACAGCCAACCTCATTCTACGATTAAAGTCAGCACTATCATTGCAAATAGAGCAAAAGGAGTGAAAATGTCTGTGTGTTGTAGAGACAGTTTTATATTCTCCTTTTTGTGCCTGATTCTGGCTTACATTTCTGTATGGAGTTCCACTAGCTTTGATGTGCCTGAGATTACATATGTTAGATGATATTTTTGTCGTCTTTAACCTGACATTCTATGTGTCACATTTAAAATGGCACTCATTAGAGGGCACCCATTTCTTGGAGTCCAATTTGAGAAACCTCTCACTTGATTTTCTAAGGTCTGGACCATCAGTGGCTCCATTTAACTTAAAGAGGAGCAGATTGTTTTATTTATGACTCTCACAATTGAGAGAGTAAAGCCAAGTTCAGATTCTCATAGGTTCCTGCTAACTACCTCCTGTAATCTATTAATACTTTAATGATACTATCAAAAGTGTGTATGAATGATTTCCGGAAGTTACTATATCCTAGCATTACCTTCAGTTTTCACCAAAAAAGAGAGTCAGAAAGTTTAAGTTTTGATGTTGATTCACCAAATGTTGGTCACATGGGAACTAAGATGTGAACTTAATGATGTATTTAACGGCAAAGACTCTTTCTTCCCTCTCTCCAGTAGCCCCATCAGGGAAATAGCAAGATTGATAGTAATTATGCATACAGAGGAGCCCTAGCTGCAATCACCAGCCTCCTGCAGAATTCTCTGTGGACAGCAGGCCGAGTTGGCAAACAAAAGTGGAAAGGAGTAGAAAGAAAGAAACAAAATGCTTTTACTGGCTAGTCACAAAATATGGCCAGCATTTAAAAAACAAATCTAAATACAACAATTGCAAGCAGTCCAGGCAAAAATCATTTAGTTAGGCGTCTAATAACTCCAGGAACAAAGCTGGATAACAACGAATCACATGCTCCCGTCAGGTGGGGGGAAAAAATTAAACAAAAGAAGGTTTAAAAAAAAAAAAATCCCACGCTTCCTCCTTTTCCATATAATTACCATGAGTTACAGTTGAGGGTGAAGCTGCAGAGAGGGGTGGGGGAGTGAAGTGAATGTGAAACGGATAAAAGCTGGGTAAACCACTCCAGTAGTCAGGCTGATGCAGAAGTACTTAACCAGAAACAAATGCTGCTGATGCTTTTGTTCTGGTCTTTCACTGAAGCTTATTCTGGCCTTCTGATGTGCCTCCTATAGGTTGCCTCTGCCAGGGAACTGTGCATGTGCTCACAGTCCCAACTGCTAGCACCACATTTATTTATTTATTTTCAATCCAAATAAACTCTTAATGGCTTAACATAAAACATTTGGATTTTTTTTTTGATACATACTAAATAATAAAAAAGCCAGAAGCACAATAGGCCATAAGGGAGTGAAAGGGATGATTGTTCAAAGCCCTATTAAAAGGTTTGTTGCTTTATTTATATATTTTTTAACAACACAATTTCAAAGCCTTTTAAAGAAGACTCCTCCTCCCCTGTTGCCTGCCAAGATAGTACTTAGCTGAGGGAGGGAGTGGCTGCTCTTTAGAAGATGATAGTATCTATTAGAGAGAAAGGGACAGAGAGATATAAAAAGGGTTTCCCAAAAACAGTTGTCCAGAAGGGCCAATGAAAAGAAACAAAAGGTATGAGATGAGCATTAAATGGGAAGAAGATGGGAATATTAAAACAGAGAGTGCTGAGAGAGAGGAGACATTTTTAAAGCAAAAAGGGTTCTGTTAAGGTCCTTATAGAGGCACTATTATACTAGCCATGCTTCGTATTTAGGCATCTGTCAGGTAGTCATTGTGAAGCACTTCACAAAAATTAACCCTCACAGCCCTCTTTCATAAGCTAGGTAAGGGACACAGACCCAGACACATGCAGGCAGACATTCAATTTGTGCAGCTGGTTTCCACAGAGGAACAGAACACTTTTTGACAGTCGACTGCATTTCAATGCAGCAGACACACTGAGGATTTTCTTCCCCTTGGTGTGCTGGATTATTTTACAGCAGGCATAAAGGGGTGTGTCTGGGTGAAAGAAGTGTTAGGTGTAGTTGAAACGTCTGGAGATAAAGTTGAGGTCCATGTTCACTCTCCTTTCTTTTAGGAGCAAATACTGCAATCTAGGTGCCACTGTTAGGAAAACCCCACCACTGCCTTCGCAGTCCTTTACAAGCCTGTTCCCTCAAAATGCTATCAGTAATTACCACCATGGATGGGACAGTAAACATCAAGTTAACTTGTGCAAAGCTGAGTATGAGCTATGAAATAAGGTCCTACATTCACAGTAGACAGCCAGTGCAGACAGCAAACCATCAGGGTGGTACGTTCATGGTGACCTCTGTTGCTAGGGAGATGGGCTGTAGCTTGCACGAGCTGGAGTTTTTCCACAGCTCACAGCTTCATTCCTAGAAATTAGGAACTAGATAACCCTGTTTTGAGTATAAGAAATCTCCTGTGCAGTTAAGGAAGTACAAAGATCTCTACCTTCCTGGTAGGCTACAAACAGCTACGTCGGCTTTCACTGCCAATGGCTCTGAGGCAGCCTGGATCACTAAGGTCACCAGAAGCCTTTGATACTTCCCGTGTGTTAACTGCTGGGAAGAGACTGGTTTAAGAGGATGTTTTTTCTGCAGCTTGGCTGCAGCAGTATACCAAAACCCTCCTGAGGGCAGCTGGATGTGAAACACTTCTTTTTTTCAGAGCAGAAATTTCATCCTGTGAAACTAAAGATAACTTTCATTAGCGGTGATATGTTTCTGATATGAAACACCTGCTTCCTCAGCAATTTTCAAATGAACTCGACTGAAAATATTTCAAGGGCTCTGGGGTTCTTAAATTGAGTCACTAACCTTAGTGCCAGTGCACTAGATTAAGTTCAGAATAGGTTCTTCAGAGAGTATCCTTCTCTCCACCTGATCACTGTTGTCTGGGTTTGGTTTTGTAAACCTCTCATGGGCTGATTTTGCATAGACTTGAGATGGAAAAGACTTTGAAAAATGCTGTGTAATGCCACCTTCTGCATGCTACAATTTCGAAGCTGCGAGCACACTGACTAA